TGTAGGATGTAGGAGACAGGGAGAAAATTGTGATAGAAAATGACCTAAACCACAGTTCACAGTTAACTGTACTATTAAACAGTATAATTGGGTTTTAGTAATTGGTTTTTAAACTGAACTATTAAACAGTATAATTGGGTTTTAGTAAAAATAGTTTGTTTTTTAAGTACAAAACAATATAGATAAACTGTAGTTTAGAGTTTTTAAGGGAACTGTGCCCAGCCCTAGCGGGGAGATAGTTTATTGGGACGTTGACCCCGATAAATGGTGTTATTTTGGAGTATTAGGTTCACTCAAACATATGGGTTACATGCAAGTAGAAGAATTATATTACAATGTCCAACATGTTTTACATAAGGTTGATGATGATAAAGGAGCTATGAACATGATGAATGTGGCTAAGTATTTAGGGAAAGTGAACCTGTATGTTGTGCATGAGGTGGACGAAGCAACTATCTTAGAAAATGATGAGAATGAGATTCTTTACCTATGTGAAGGTCATGCAAAGAGTGGTGAGGGTAGTGGCGTGGGAGGGGAAGCACATATTGAGGGTGGTGAAGAAGGAATTAGAGACGTAATGAAGGGTACAGTAGAGGTTGATAATGACTATGCAGTGGATGTTGACAATGAGGATGCACGAGATGTTGAGAATGACGATGCATTGGAGGTTCAGAAGGAGGATTTACTGGATGTTGACAATGAGGATTGCCTGGATGTTGAGCATGACGATGCATTGGAGGTTGAGAAGGAGGATTTAGTGGATAATGAGGATGGTGAGCATGAGGATGTAGAAGATGTTGAGGTTGCAGTGGAGGTTGAGAATGTGGATGAAGTTGAGGATGTAAGTGAAGAAGCATTGGAAGTGGATAATGAGGATGAAATTGAGGTCGAAAGTGAAGAACTAGTTGACGTGGACATTCAGGATGGAGGGGAGGTTAATAGTGAAGAAGAAATGGAAGTGGAAGTGGACAGTGATGATGAAGCAGGAATGGATGATCTAAGTGGTGATGAATACGTGGATGAAGACAGTGAAAAAGAAACTCAACAATGTAGGGGTTTGTCAGATGATGATTGGGAGTCTGATAAGCTTTTAACTCCTGAAAATAGTG